TCAGGAAAGCAATACCTTCTCTGACACGAGTTGTACAAAGAGTTGAAATAATGATGTTTAAAAATGGGTAAGAATTCAATTGAATGGGGGCCAAACAAGCGCTGTATTTCATCCCTGTGACTTCTTTTCTCACCCAATTGACCCCTAAGACTCTCGAATCTTCATCCAAGGTTCGACACAACTTTTGAGTATTTGCACCTTAGCCTTAGACTTTGGATTTGCTTCATTTCAACCCCTTTTCTTTTGTAATCATGTTCTTTTATCTTCCAATTGTATCCAATTAAAATCTTTAGCATCTTCGATCTTCATTCATCGCCCTCTCATCTATGGATTGCTTGCTTTCACCATTTTTCGTTATTTTTGCATTCTTTTCTCCAATTCTTCATCAAATATCGAGTTTTAATGTAATATAACACAAGTTAGGTAGTATTTTATCCAAAAAACAGTAAAATGTCATCTTTTAGGACCTCGAATAATTGTAGAAATTACACCTACGAACCCCCAAACTTGAATATTTGTTTGTCATCAAACAAAATAAAACCTAACAAACACACAAACAGACAGTATTTATTACCTAATTGATGGCCAATCAATCAAGTAAAGCAAAATGATTTACCTAGCTAACTCGACTTTTTATCTCAGGATTGAAATCATAATACAAAATCTATGTATTTCTTCAAAATCATAATATAGAAATTAAAATCTACTTTTTCAATGTAAAATTGACGTGTGTGTTTGAAGAATTAAGCATAGCATTATGAATTCACAAGTAGTTTCAATTCCCGACCCGCAATGGTCAAATATGTTCTTCCACCACTCAAAAAATTCACACACCCGAAATTTATTCTTTTCGCTCTTTTCAAGTGTGTGTACGGTTGAATTTTTATATTATCTTCACCTCTCTAGTTTAAGTAAATCTCACTAATTTCAAGTCGATATATCAGTAAACAAGGATTCTCCATAGTTTGATTGCTCCAATCTCCAGAACTCAACTAGGCTAATAATATCTTATCAAAAGTCAAATTTTCTATTATAGGTGCTTGTGACTTAACCTAGGCATTCAGTCCGTATCTATTTCATGCATCTGCTTTTTCTATTTTTTTCTCAATTTTTATTTCAATTTTTTTTATTTGCAGCATTATCTCCCTTAAGCTTTCTAAATGACCCTTTTAACGAGTATTAGACCAATGACTCCTAAGTCAGTTGACTTTAGGATTATAAGTTTTAACACCCTTACAGGTTTAATGACTCGAATCATAAAGGCTACGAAGAGAAATTTTCAAATAAAATATTTTTTGATTCTTTGATTAGTGCAATATCCCTCATTAAATACATATCTAAGTAAACCAACTTCTAACTTGAGACTTTCGCCCAATTTCATCCTATTGATCTTAGACTATCCACACAAGATTTTTAATTTCTCATTGGAATCCCCATATATCTCCATATCTTTCCACAACAGTGAAATCCCGGAACTATACTATATTTGGTCTAAGGATGTAAAATATAGTGATTTTGGGTTTAGCATCCATGGTCCACTATTTCAACATATTCAATTATGAAATCAACGCATTCCTAAACAATGCTTAACATAATTCACGTGCTCAATATATATCAAATTTCACATGGAAAAGCAAGAATTAATCTAAGTATGTAACCATTCACCATTCATATATCGATTTATAATTCAATACAATCATCATTGCTAGTCAGGCTGGCTAACTCTTACAAGCACACACGAAGAAAATATTTTTGTTTAATATCCGAGACAATAAAACACACACACAAAACAAAGACAAAAGAAAATTCATGTTTTTCACCCCCAAATTTAAACTAAACATTGTCCTCAATGTCTTAAATTCTAAATAAACATCTAATTGGGTGGGGAGAAAAGGAAGAAAGTACAATCCTAATATGCGCGTGAAATCCAATAGCTAGATTTTCCTATTGCTCTGTGTTGTTTCTTGGTCATTGTTGGTTCAAGTGTTCTACACGTCATGTTCCTACACGATACGATTAGATAAATAATTTAAGATCAGATACTTAGAACAAGTGTTACTTAACTTAAACATTTAATAAACCAACTAAATCTCAAGGGCCTAAGGGGAAAAGACACATGGATGATGAGTCTCTAATTAAAACTAATAACTAATTTAAATTATCATATGACTAAAAATCATAATAAATGAAAGGGAAAAAGATTGGGTTGCCTCTCAATAAGCACTTCATTTGAAGTCCTTAGCTTGACCTTATTGTTTAGACATCATGTAATTCTAAAGAATGCTTTTAATGCCTTGCTCAATTTGCCTCTTTTAACTTTGCTTTACTCTTCGTTGTTTCTACAAATTTTAACACCATCCCTCCATTGTGATATGACTTCCCTATCTCATCCAATTTAAATTCAATTGTGTAAAGTCCTTTCTCCTCTTCGAGTTTAATTGCAAATTCAATGGTAGAGCAACCAATGAAGTCGACAGAATGTGGATTGACATCTTCTTCATTAATTGACTCCTCTTCTTTTTGTTCATTTGTAATTGAACTTTCATCATCTTTGTTCTCGTCTTCCATAATTGATATCTCCTCAGATTGAATGGTCAGTTCACAATCTAAATCTACAGGCCATGGAAATTCTTTTCTTTTAAACCTTTCGAGTGAATTATACCCCTACTTTTTAAATTCATACCAGAATACGTCATCTCCCACACAGAGTTTGTTTTTATCCAACCTAGCAAGATTAGTGTAGTATTTTACAAATACCTCATCGTTCAATATGGAAGGACCAAAATCCACAAGCGTGTCGAAAGGAATACACTTGTCCACAGGCATGTAGGCTTTAATGGATGTGTCAACTACTAGTCTTCGACGTCTTAAATATTGCTTAAATCATAGGAGTTTTAGCTGATAGGGATCAGTGCACGTATTCAAGCAGTAGTCAATATAATGCACACTATAGTAGAATTCATAATAGATATATTTTTCCTTCTAATTCATGTTGAGATTATTTATTACAAAAATCTTTTTACCATGCCAGCGTAAAAATCCAGATGCACTACTAAATGGAACCTAGAAAGAATATCAAACAAGAGAGATCAAGGGTGGGTAACCAAAATCGACAAAAAAAAAAATAATAATAATAATAAAAATAATAAAATAAAAAATAAAATCGAATCGAATCTAATCTAATCTAATATAAACTACTAAACTAAAATCAAATTCGTTATTCCCCAGCAACGACACAAAAACTTGTTGGCATGAAACCCGCAAACATACGAAATCATTGTACAAGTAATAAGATTTGTGAGTTAAGAGTATTCTTTCCACGAGGAATAAGGTCTAATATCTAGTTCAATAGCTTTTATTAAATTCGAAGGAATAAAAAATCAAAAGAGTTGTGATTTGTTTGTTTTCTATACTAATCCTAAACTAACAAATCAAATAAACTATTTTCCACTATGTGAATGTTTGTATTGGAATTGTGAATCCTCTTATTATCATTTAATTCAATTCGCAATCTAGTAAATTCATGCATTCAAGACAATTGATTTTCCACTTTTATTCAATATTCGTTTCCAAGATATATTAAACATATGCTTAACATAACTCAACCCTATTCCTAATCCGAATTTATATGAAAAACATGCATTCACAGGATTTATCACACAAGATCTGCATGCCATAGATATTATTTCTAATATCTATTACTCATGTGTTGATTTTGTCGCGTTCTAGACTTATTTTAAGTATTCTTACACTACAACAAACACCTTGCCATCTAATAGGTGATCAAAAAATCAAATAGCTCAATGAAAATGTAAAAACAATCAAGAAAAATCATTAAATACTAAATTAATTGTTTTGAATTAACATAAACAAATAATAGGGTTCATCATTTATCCAATACAATGAAAAATTTAGCCAACCATTCTAATTATTAAATTATACAAAAATAATGAAAAAAATCACCCGAATCGAAAAAATATGGATGAAAGTAGAGAAATCCACTTTCTTAAATGAGATCTTGATTTTGAATGGATAATCATAAAGAATTTTGAACAATTCCTTTAATGTTGATGATTTAACCTCCCTTCAAAATATGTTGAATCTATGAATTTTTAGGTTTAGGGAGGTCTCCTATGTTGTGGACGTGTTTAAGTGTATATAGGATGTCAAAATATTGTTTCCATGTAAAATTTCATTGAAATAAGGAAATTGGCCCATCACAGAGAATTTGGCCCGCGTACATGTACAGGTATAACCTTGCGCACGCACCATTGAGCCAAGTGGCTCTCGGGTTGGGAGAATAAGGGTATCGTGCACGCACCATGAAATGCCCCAAACGCACGCAAGTTCGCTTTAGTTTGTCCCTAAGCCGCTTTCAGTATTTTGGTCATACTTTCTCTTTCGTGTTCGATTGAGATGATTCAAAATGTGTTGAAAAGCTGATTCAAAGATATACAATTCTTTCGAAGGTACATATTTTCTAATTCGAATGTTTGCTATCCGAAAAATAGGTCTCAAGTTGATGTTAAAAATTCGGAGCATAACTTCTTTGGCAGGAAATTGATTTGTGATAACACTTTAACTATATATCATCCATTTGGCTTTTTTTCTCACCCAATTGACTCATAATACTCTTGAATCTTCATCTGAGGTTCGGCATAACTTTTGAGTATTTGCATTTTAGTCCCCAAAACTTTGGATTTGCTTCATTTCAATCGTTTTCTTTTGTAATCTTGTTCCTTTATCTTCCAATTGCATTTAATTAAATCTTTGGCTTCTTCAACCTTCATTTCGTCGTACTCTCATCTATGAATTGTTTGCAATTTAGTTACAATATCCTCAAATCATTCTGAAATTATTACAATCCATGAATCAGACACAGAATGTATATGGTTAAGGAACATAACCCATTATATCTAAGCATCATACGGATTAATTTTAACAAAAGATAGTACATCAATTTTGTATGAAGACAATGCTGCTTGTATTGTACAACTCAAATGAGGATATACCAAAGGTGACAAAATGAAACATATTTCTCCAAAATTCTTTCACACACGAGTGTCAGAAGAATGGTGACATCAATGATCAACAAATCCACTCAAGTGACAATGTGACTGATTTATTTACAAAAGCACTGCTAACATCAATATTTAATAAATTGGTTTACAAGATTGAAATCGTTGACTCGAAGACTTTCAGTAATCAACATTAAGGAGAGCATCCATACTCTTTTTCTTTCACTTAGTTTTATCCTACTGAATTTTTATAGCAAGATTTTAATGAGGCAACATTTATTTTTAATACTCCAAAATAATTGTACTCTTTTTCCTTCGTTTATTTTTTTGTCCTATTGAATTTTTATCAAACAATGTTTTAACAAAGTAGATATTTTATAATATATCATTCAAGTGAGAGTGTTGTAAATGGTATGTTTATTAGTAAATGACAATTATACATCTGTAACCCTAAGAATTATTACTATTGTATCCCTTATACTTTATATAAATATGTATCTTTGGTTCTCATTATAATAGACATAAGTCTATTAACTTTTATTTTATCTTCTATTTTTCTCTCTTTTCATAACAGGGTTTTTTTTTTTTTTTTTAAATCTTTTCTTCTCTTCTCTTCTCTTAGGAAAGATGCTTATTGTACATCACCATTTACAATTTCTTTTACGGGATATGAGTGATGATAAATTGAATTAAAATTATCAAAATCTTTTCATCACATAAACAATTCTACTTATGTAATGTGGGTTAATGATGTGAAATTTTTTTATATTTGGTTATTGAGATTTTGACTCAATCAAAACTTGTCATATTATCTGTTGATAAATAAATTTGTAAATTGTGATGTAAATGTAACACGAACGATTTGTAATATTTTTTTAAAATTAAAATGCTTTCAAAAAAAACATTTTTTACTAAACTTAAGTGCTCATTACCCATTTTACCCCTCTAAAAATAGATATGTACGCGTCAGGCGCTATTTTGGAGAACTAGGGCTATTCCTTTTTAACTTCAATAAAACCCTGAACCACTTTTATGCACTCTCTTCTAAACCCAGACGCCTGCCGCGCTTCTCCTGGTACTTCCCTTTATGTTCTCAGCAAATAATTAATCAGGTAATTCTATAGAACTTAATCTTTTAATATATTTGATCTTAATGCGTGCGTGAATTTTTCTTTTTTCCCAATCAATTGACAGTTACCCTCGATTTTAATGTTAGATGTACATGGTGTTTCTGCGTATGCATATTATGGAACAAGATTATCCTTGTACTTTTAATTTTTAATGAATATTTTTATTTAATTGATTGTCTGAGTGTTCAAAGTTTGACTTGAAAAGTTATATTTTCTGCGCCTAGAGCAATGAAGTTGTTTACTGTTTAGAAGATTTTGTTGTTAATATACATGAAATGATGAAAAAATAATCAACACGTCTGGTTCCCCTTCCTTTTTTTTACTGAGTTGGCAATGCTTGATTTATTGCAATATAGGGTTGCATACACTTGGTAGCTGAATTTAAGGAGACTATGGATGTTTCCAGTGAAGCACGTTACAAACCACCACCTGAGTTTGAGGAGGACAAAAAAGATCCACTTGTTGAACTCAATTTAACGGACTCAACAGAGCTATGGCTCATTCAGTGGCCCATTAATCATGTAAAAATCATTTTACCTACATCATGTTCATTATCTACTTGTATCAAATTTTACTTTTACTTTTTCTTTTTCAATTTAACTTGTTTCAAAATGAAATGATCAACATCTCTGGTGGAAGATTGTGTTTATCTAGAACAAGGAGATGGATAAAAAATATTAACAGGTGTCTATCGGCTACTGCTTTATTTCTTACCAAAGTGATATTTGAACCCACAAAATGTAAAATATAGTCGAATATCAAAAACTTATGTCCAGTTTCTAAAATTTTTCCTTCATGGTCTTCTATGTACAGTTTTATCATATTGTTCTTCTGGAAACAAACATGTTAAGATTTTTCTTCTATGTTTTCGCATTTTCATCCTATAATGGTCGAAAACTGAATTTCCGTGTATTTGACATTCTTTCCATCAAAACTCATCTTGCTTCTTCAATCAACTATACTGAACAAATTTTCTTTTTAAGTGACCTCATCATTGATTGTTGTTGTGGCTTTATGCAGGCTTCTGATTTTGACGGGCAAGAACTGTCATTGAAGCTTCACCATGATGGACATTTGGGCAGTTTTGAAGGTTCTTCTGGTAATTTGGGTTAAGTGTTGCCATATTTGCCTATGTGCAATACAGTTTAGCTATTTCTTCACTGTTTTAGCATTGTTTTGTGGTGACAGGAAAATCATATGAAGTGGTTAGTTTCAAATTCCAGGATCCTGAGGCAACTGTTTTCTTATCTTCGGCATCAGAGTCAAAAATCGGTACTCATTTTTGAGTTTTCTTGTCTTACTTTATGTATATTTCTTGGATTGTTGCTTTGTTAATGTGATTAATTATAGTAATAATGAGTATTGTCATGTTTGCTATTAATATATTAGGATTATGGATATGCAATTACTAGTTGGACATTACTCATACCAGTAAAAGTTCTTTTCGGATACAAATGTAAGGCAGCATGATCAAGTTGTTATGAATTGATAAAATAAATTAAGATGCAGAAGTTAGCCAAAAAAAAAGAAAGTAATAAACATTGATATATTTCATAAATTTGAAGTTTTACTGCCCTTATCAACCTTCTACGTTTCTTTAATAGCCTTACCCATCATTTTAATATGAACATGAGTTAGGGCAGCCGATGCCTAGTTTTCTGCAAATACCTGAGAACGATTCTCTGCATTGTGTGTCTGCACTAAACCGTGGACAATTTTAAAAAATTAGAATCTGTAGTCAACGTGAAGTTAGTAGTTTAATTTTAAGAACTAGTTGTTTTCATTTTGTAAACAAGTTGACTTGATTTATCCATTTAGTTATCTTTTCTTGTTCTTGTTAGAACCATTACCGACCATGATTATGACATCCTAAAGTAGAAATTGCAACTGGCGTATAACCTAGCACATGGATGGCCACAACATACACGAACTGTGATTCAAATGTCGTTTGCAAAGTGTTAATAACAAGTGATTTTAACAGACTAGACTTCTTGTAAGTTCATTTATTTTTGGTTCTTATGATTGTTAAATGAAGCAAATAAATATGCGTGCTAATTATATTGCAAAAAATAAAGATGTAACATTCCGACTGAATCTGTTGTCTTGTACACAATAACATGACCCAAATAATTAAATTGACTGCAGGTTGTGTAATTTTACTTGTGTCTTTTGTCCATGATGCTCAACCTGATAATGTCACGAATGAACGCGATTGTCTGGCATTTTGAACCCTTTGTGCAACATCCAATACAAATTTGCCATTCATTGTGTTTCTAATTTCTGAAGTTATTTTTTTCACAAGAGAGAGTGGACTTTGGACTCACGAGTGAAAATCATAGACAATTCTCTCATTTATTGTCCCTCTGTGTTGGAGTAGCGCAGAAGTTACTGATTTGTCTCCTTTACAGTTACTCTTTTGCATTTGATCTTACTTATAAAGTTCTCCTTAATGTTGTGGTGAAATGTACACTGTAAATTTGGTTTCATTTTCCATTGATGCATTTTATTTCAGCTGGGAAGATCTCAAGGCGTGTATCTCTTATCCATTACCCTGAACCTGGTGAACTCCAAAAGCACAATAACAGTAACTTGAAAGAGATGTCTCAGAGGTCTTCTGCAGCTACTTCAACAATGTCGGGTCGTCACTTTGCAACTCCTCGAAGTTCTCGGCAAAGAAGCTCTCAAATAATGAGTGGTTATGTTTCCTCCGCGCCTAGTAAAAACAAGAGTTCCATGTCTGGTCATGGGGAGTCTCCAAAGCCTCCAAAGAGAGGACGTGTTGATGAGCAGAGTAAGTCCATTGGTCAGTCTGCCCAAGATTCAGGAAGAGGAAATAGTGCAGTTACCTCGACTGGATCCTTGGAGCATTCTGACAAAAGAAAATCAAAGAAGCAAAAGAAAAGTGAGGTTTGAAGTGTTGTATGCTCAAGTAGTTATAACATACTGTCATACCTTAGTACACTGGATATTCATCTTTATAATATGTTGTGCATCTTTTACTCTAAATTTGGAAGTTCCAACTCGAGAAAATTTTGTTCTTTGCTTCATTTTTGGGATCATTTGTTGAGTTTCGGGGAGCCTTTGTTTGATCTTTGATTTTATAAGCCGGCTTTCGTTCTTTAGCCAACGTCATTGCAGGTTCTTGTTGATATAATGCATCTAGTGTACATAAATGATGGAAGGAAAATAATGTTCTAGATCTCGGTGATTGTTAATTTACTCGTATTAAGCAAATGTTTTCAGCCCCCATTTGAGCCCCATTTTTAACAAATAATGAATTTTGTAATAGTAATTTTTTAAAGATTTGTGTGGTTAGAAGTATGAGAAATTTGTGTTTACACATATTATTTTATTGGAAGAATGTGTGGTTAAAAATGAGTTTGAGAAAAAAAATATATATTTTGAGATAATGGGGTTCAATTGAATAATGCTATTTGTAATCGTTCACTGCTACAATTGCTTTATATGATTAGTGATGGCAACGGGACGAGGCACGTCTCGCCCCAACCCCACCCCGCCCGCGGGGTAATTTTTTGCCCCGTTTACTGTCTCATTTAATTTAATTTAATTTTTTTTTTCACATTTTCAAAATTTAGAGTTATATATTAAATTATAAAATACAAATTCAAAATTTAAAAATTCAAAACAAATAATGCTCAAATTAACATCAATATTCAAAGAAACACTCGAAAAATTAATACCCAAAAAAAAAGATATATATATATATATATTATTTTTTTTTTAAATATACACGGGGCGGGGCGGGGAGCAGGGTTTTTTTCCCCCATTCGGGGCAGGGCCCCGTCGGGCCGGGACGGGACATGGTAAATTGCCATCTCTATATATGGTATACATGTGGAGTATGTGGAGGTTAGTAATTTATTGCATTAAAAAAAAACATAAAACATAAAAACCTACCACATTAATGTACCAAAATACTAATCATCACATGTATGTCATATAAAACAACTACGACAATATGCGACTGAAAATAGCATTAAATTGGGGCTCACCTACCGTTGGTCTCCTGACTTGGTGATACTCAAATTTCTTCTTTTGTTACTTCATAAATATCATCACATTTGTAAACATTAAAAAGAATAAATTGCAAAACCTTCTGAATTGAAGTGCAAATTTTTAGCGTTTATATTGGGTTAATTTCATTTTTGATCACTCAACTTCAACTGGAATCTCGATTAGATCACCCGATTTTAGCATTATTGTCACTTGCATTTATCTTTCACAAGAATTTTAAAAAATAATAAATAAAATAAAGTAAAATTCTCTTGGTTTCAAAGGTAGGATTATGCAATGAGATAACCATAGCAAATTTCCAGACTCCAGTCAGCTGCGCCATCAGGCTGGATCAAGTTTTGGATTGGCCCATCTAGATCCATTAAACTTTTGAGTGCAAACCAACTGAATCCATGCCAAATTAGACAGCCCAACTTGCTTTACACCTCAAATAGCATGACAGGCTAGCTCTTTTTTAAGTCGAGCATTGCCTAAATTTGCTAAACTTGAAAATGGGTGCTGCATCTTTATAGAAATTCAATAATCAGGTCATGTCAACCAGAAAAAACACAGGATGGAAACAAATTGTTAGCTTTCTCATTGATTCAAACTGTCTCAATTCTCCATATCGAGTAAAGATTTCAACAAAATCCATTTCACAATACTGTTTTCTGTAAAATCTCCATTATCTGTACGGCTCAAGAGTACGGAAGATTCATAGATCCTACTTGACAAATTCCTAAATCTGATTAGGGATGGATTACGGTGAACTTGGATGTAGAAATTCAAGTTTATAACAAAAAACATGGCTGCACCGGCAACCAATTGGATTAACCAATCTCACTTTGGGTCGGACCTAAGCCTTGCTTCCAAGCTCATAAAGCCCAGCGTCAACAACTCCAATCCATTTTAAATAGTCCTCTTTATCTCTTTTTAATGCAAAAAGCAAGAGAATAGACGAATTAATCCCAGAGTATCCCGATGACCCACTTGCTTCCATTTTAACCTAACCCAGTTTTAGTCCAGGGTAAAGGTCTAAGCATCGGATGACTGAGAGAAGGCAGGGAATTTCCAGAGTTAAACAGTGTACTCGGGGTAGAAGAGGATGGGTGTATAGCTGTAAGTGGCAGTCGGGGCCCAAGATCATACATCCCTTGTTGCATAAGGGACATATGGGGATGGCCAGGTTGGTTATGGCCATATCCAGAAACAGAAGGTGGTTGTGAGCCTAAAATAACGTGCTGCCTATTTCCCGAGCTATTATTTACAATGGCTGAACCAACGCCGGGTGGGCCCATTGCTCGAGATCCTCCAGCAGATCCAAACTGTGCTGACATCATGAGGCCTCGTTCTGTAGCCAATCTCTGCCGGTTTCTTTCCATCTGTTCGCATTCTCTCATCAATAAGGTCTCGATTTCTGCAAACTGCTTTAGCTTAAGCTCTAATCTCTTCAACTGAAAGGGAAGAGGAAGCACGATTGAACTTGTTAGAAATCCAGCAATATGAAGGCCTAGTATTTAAGAAATATAGTGTTTCCTTTCCATCTAAAGAATAGAATCATAATAAAGAAGATGCTACATGTAATCACATTGTATATAAGGGTGTCCATAATGGAGGCACCTGCCACGCACAGCCCACAGGCGTCTCGACCAATGCCGAGGTGCCGGGTGTAATGGACACCCTTATGTAAAATGTAATGTACAACAAGATTAATCCTCATAATAAATGGATTAAGCAATTCAAGGCAAGAACATTACAACTTCCAGAAATAAAATATCAAACAAAATATCAGATGATAATCCATTTGCTAGTACTAGAAAACTAGAGGACAGCATTAAAAACCTTGAAAGAGAGAGACTGACTAATTTTAAGTGAATGTGTACCTTGTAATAGTTGACAAACTATAAATGGTCACAAGACTGATTATAGTCAGCCCCATATCTCGTTATATTTTAATTCAAGGATGACTAGTAATTTTAGACAGCACTGGTAAATCTGTGATGTTTCTTGATCATATCCTCAGCTGATTCATCGGTTACCATGGATTTTTGGATTCAAATTTTCTGAATATTCTAACTGTGACACATTTGCTTCACACTCACAGATCCAGCCAAGGGCATATATGTTTGATATGCCTATGATACATGCATATGCATAAATGCATGATTCTAATGAAAACATCATCCAACATGTATTCTCTAAAGAACTTGACGAAAAAAGGTCAATACCACAAATTTAGGAGGATGGTCATCCAAACTGGAAGTTTGCTGCTTCCAAACTGTTTACCGGTTACTAGCTTGCAAGTTAGTATTTTGTGAGTTTGCCCTGCCAAGAGGGCGCTCCAAAAGAAAATAACAGGAAATATATTAGGGGAGGGCGTGGGGGTTCCAAGAGGTACGATTTCAATCAGAGCACGGAAGTAGAAACTAGATCAGACCCAAGAAAAAGCAGAGCTTTCCTAGATTGCAGCATGGAAGATGTTGCTTACTAGATAAAGATAAAGATCATGTAGGTCCAGATTCCAACGAACAACATAAAGAAAGATAGTGAGGTGCTAATGCTTTCTCAAGGCAATACAACATTAGCAAGGAGTATCAAAAAATTTAATGGTGAGAGTTCAAGATGCACACTATGAAAGACAATGTATAGACTTATGTTACAGGGATAATTATAAATGAAGTGGTTAACTACAGAAATTGTGGAGCAATTATTAATTTTATTTACTTTACAAATCTTAGAAAGGAAGTAAGGTAATACATTAGAACATCGTACAGCTTGAGATATTGTCATCCTAACGCTGATATGTTAGAGACGCGTGGCGTAGTGTGGTAGTGTCTTTCTGTTGCTTGTTACGGAGGATGGTGTGGGTAAGAAATTTTAAACCCTCACAAAACTTTAAAAACATTTTTGAAACTCTTTTGCAGAGCGAGTTGTTGTAAATGTTTTTCAACTTAGTCTTGAAAAAGTTAACAAAAATAGTTATCAAGCCCGATCCGGCCTAGGCACTGGGTCATCAGGTCATTGGTTGAACAAGAGTTTTGTAGGAAACCGAGGATGGAAAGAAGCCAGGAATGGAAATTATAATCAGTTAGAGATTGTGTTTGGTAGGTTTATTTATTTCCTAACTTAATAGATTACTTTTCCTTTTCTTCTTCATCGTGTATAGTATAAATTGGATGTAATAGGAGTAATTTTTTCATTGAGAAATACAGGACGATTTTTCTAATTTCGATTTCATGGTATTAGAGCTGTGGTTTCTATAACCTAGCAAATCAATGGCTGAATTCCCAACCAACAGCAGGGAGTCAACAACCTCAGAAACATCCCATTTCGAAGCGGAAACCAGTCATTCAATTGGCCCCAATGGACTCGAGAATTCTTCCTTCCAACTCATGGTGGAGAAATTGAACGGAAGAAACTTTCGGGGATGGACCCAATCCATAAAACTAACAATCGATGGAAAAGGAAATCTAGGCTACCTTACCGACGAGACCAATAGGCCAAATGATGCTACTCTTCTGCAGAAGTGGAAATCCAAAAACTCAATGGTGATCACCTGGTTGGTGAATTCCATGAAGTCGGCAATTGGGAAGACTCATCTCTTTCTTTCTACTGCAAAGGACATTTGGGATTCAGTGAAAGAAACCTATTCTGATTCTGAAGATTCATCAAATATATTTAAGACTCAATTATGGCAGACCCGTCTGGGATCGAGAGACATGACAGATTATTACATGGAAATGGTGGCTCTTTAACAAGAATTGGACCTCAATGTCAAGGGGTGGAAGTGCCCAAACGATTGTACTCTGTATAGAAAGAAGCAGGAGAATGAAAGTGTTTTGTGCGGGTAGTCGCTAACAATTAAAAAGGGATCAGACGATTGTATAAGGAATAAACCTTTTGAGGCAAAGTCCCGAAAAGGGGTGTTTTATTGACGATGATTTTACAATTGGAACTAAACATAATGCCTCCAAGGGGCGCAAGTACACGAGTATTGAAAAGAAATGTTTAAGTCTAAACTAAGAAATTGAAATTACATATTTTTTATTTGAGAGTGTTTGATTTGGGGGCTTTTGCTCTGTCTTTTCTTCCTTTTATATTCCCTTCATGATCTTTTCGTGATCAACCGCTTAGAAACTGCTTAATTGCTTTATAACTGCCCACTTTCTTCATGGTGACCAACTTATCGTAGAACTGCCGTCTCTAACTGCTGCCACTACTCTTTGTCGTTCAACCGTCTTCAACTGAACTCCTTGAATTGTGGAACGTGATAAGATTACTCAATAACTGCTTCGATAACTGCACTTTTGGATAACCATAACATCTTATATTTGCTAAGATCCTGAGCGATTCGAAGGTTTGGACAAAAACAGGGTCATAACTCTGGGCGACTGCAAGACACTTCATTTGCTCATATCTTGGGCGTCTTACAAGTTTGGGCGATGGTGTTACCGCGTTCTTGGGCTTCCACTACATTCATTAATAACCCTATTTGGGCCTTTATCCTGAATTGCCCAGTTGGGCTTTATTCTTTGGACTATTCGATTTGGGCTGCACTTTTAGCGTGTCAACAATTACCCCCCAATATGGCAGAATTAATACCAATTATTAATTTTGCCATATTCACTTTGTGTTTCCCAGCAACATTTGAAATTCCCAAGAATTTCAATCATTATTTTCTTCCATAGCCTGAAAAGGCGCGACGTTGCAAACCCTTATAACCCCCAAATACACGCCGTTTCATCGCACCACTAAATCACGCCTCATTGTTTCGCACTTCTCTCTCTCAATATTACTGTTCATCTTCTTGCTTCTCTACTACGTTTCTCAAGCAAACTTCCACAAAACTTTATTTTGTTCCCAATGGCTGCTTCACAAACCCAATCTGGTGACTCTTTCAGTTTCGAAGACTTCCAGAAAATCCTCACTCGGCCATATATAACTCCGAACTTCCTTGCACCAACTAATGTTGAACTCAATGAGTTCTATCTAGGTCCTTCATTCAACAATGCCGAGGTCATCGAACAACTGGTGGTGGGCCAGCTGTTCCCTTGTACTCAAGGTCCTCTGTTTCTGAACTCTTTGCCACTGAGGCCGCTTCGCGAAAGAGGTATTCGCACTTGGCCTAAATCTGATGTTATTTTTCGTAGATGGCATACTCACCTTGTGGGCCATGGTCCTACCAAGGTAATTTTTGATAGTGCTAGGATTTCTGATTTGTTAGATTTCTCTCTTCAACCCCCTATTTTTGATCCAGCGCTTTTCCCTGTTGCTTTAAATTTTTGGTCCTCTGAATATAATACTTTTGTTTTCCCTCTTGGTCCCATGTCCATTACTTTAAGGGATGTTGGGGCCCTAGTAAATCTTCCACCTTTGGGCGATATCATTTTTCCTGGTATTTTGATTTCTGGTGTCGCCCCAAAATTTGACAGAAAACTCACCGAGTCCTATTCAAGCCTGCAATGTTATTATAATCACTCGAGCGCTGAGCCTTCTCATGCTGAGCGTGTGGCATTTCTTCAAATTTGGCTTTATAAATATATTCTATATGTGCCAAGCATGAAGCCTTCTATGAGCTATTTACCCATAGCGCACGAATTGGCACGTGGTAGGCCTCTGAATTTATGTTCTTTCTTTTTGGCTGCCCTCTATAGAGACATGACTTCTCTTCAATTCCAATTGAAGAATGGTACATCTCCCAATGGCAGTGGGTCTCTTTGATTCACTCAAATGTAGTTGAGAGCCTATTTTCCATCATTTGGTACTCTATCCTTGTCCCTTCATTCAGCTAGCTGCTACGAGCTAGCTATTGATCCACTAAGCCCTGTAAATATGTCCAGAAGGGACATCTTTTCATTTTTTTTATACTTTGAATTCAATTCCTTCTTTCTTTTCTTTTTCTCCCCCTTTAACTCCAGATTATGTGCAACTCCCATCCACCCTGGATAGTGCGAGCACATCTTTGCTCGTTTGGGTTCAGTTTTTGACCGGGAGGGAGTTGTTCCATGATATTTTGACTGGAACCAATGCCAAAGCTGGGGTTGAAATATATGCTCCCTAATTTTTTGCTCGTCAACTTGGTTTTGGCCAAACTTGGCCTGTTCTCCCTTATTATTCAAGAAATTTGATAGATCACTTCCACATCATTAATAAGGCAAGGGCAGAAGCTATAGATGCTCGCAATATTCTTTTGACGAGTAACTTTTCATTAGCCCCCTTCAATCCTAACTGTGCCATCCATCCCCTTTTTGAACAACTCTGGCCATCAGTGAAGCGCAGATTATTTGCAACTGATGCCAATCGTGCTTTTCATTCACTGGATTAGCCAAACATTTCTCCCACTTCTCCTGTTTTGGTTACCCCTGTGTCCATTAGGAGTCCTTCCTTCCCTGCTCGTGCTAAACAGTCTGTTCGTCCATCTACTTCTCTTCTTGCTAAGCCCACTGCAGCTAAG